TCATTCCCATCTCTTGCCAGATCTAGTCCCTGCAGCCACCACTACCTGACCTCTCCCTGCATTTTCCACTCTGGTTGTCTCTGCAGCCTGGCCACTCTTTCCCCCCAATCTCCCCAATCCCAAACGTGCCCTATCCTGCCCTATCCGGGCGGTGCTTTGATATGTCTCCCAGCTGAGGGCTCCCACGGACGTGGCCCCCAGCACAAACTTCCCCAGCCTTTGCCAAGTGACTTCTCAACCGCCAAAGCATCATTAGTATCACTGGCAGGCAGGTAGTTAACCTGTTAACACACGCCTGTGCATTCAAAGCAGCTTTTAGACCTTAGCTTACTGCCCTTTCTGCTATTTCAGGGGAAGGATTTGTATTGAATTCTGCAAGATTTCAACCACAGCAGCCGTAACAAGGGCAGGTGTATTGGGCACGACCCCCCTTGCATAGATGTGAAAATTGATTCTCAGTGTGAACTTATGCCTCCCCCAAAGATGCCCAGTAAATAGGCCATTCATTGGCTGAGGTGAAGGATACCTTATGTGAGTGAGCAAAGGCCAAAACCACCCTGTAAATAGTGATAACCAAAGTTACACGAAGCAGACAGCACCAGACTGGGGATTAGAACCCAGGTATCTGGCTCACGCTTACTCTCGTTGCAGCGCCCTGGGGCCTCCTTAGGAATGGAAACCACCCTGGGTCACCAAGGTGTCCCTGCTCTGACACAAAAGCTGCCAGGTAACCTGGTCCTGGGAGAGGCCTCCTCCCTTTTAGACACATCCTTGCATTTTTAGGGAGAGATCAAATTATCACATTAAGTATGCTTTTAAAAACGTCAGAGACAAGGAGAAGGGTAGTAAGTAGGCTAAACAAGGAACGTTAAAATGGCAGCTGAGCCTGACATTCTCTCCTTTTCTCCCAATCTGCAGGTTCGGGGTTCTGCCCTTTTCTGGGCCACGCCTTTCTGGACAGCCCTGAGAGCTGGATCACCTTAAAATGCATCATATTACCCTGTCCTAAGCTTTCAGTGGCTCCCTGTCCCCTCACTTACAAACATCCTGGAGGAACGGCATCCAGGGGTCCCTGCCGCACCAGGAGGACCACTGCTCCTCCTTACCTCTGCCCTCCTTCACCTCCCTCCCATCCCCACACACTCCTCCCCACTCCCTGCCCCGTGTCCATCCCCCACTAGCTGCCTGGGGAGGGGCACAGAACTGCAGGGGAAATGATCCTCGGCTTAGCATGGCGTTTGCTTCTCCAATCTGTGGACACCCCGTGGGCTCATATTTCACTTGTCAACAACCGTATGCCACGAACTTTCAAACTACCACTGCAACAGGTCTCCACCGTGCTGCCCCTGGTTTGGTTTGGTTTTTAACTAACTGTGAAACTGTCACATTGATCCCTGTTAAGTTTCCTCTTGCTGTTTTTGTATATTCCACTCTGCTGCGGTTTGGAGTGTTGAGCCTGCCCTCTGACACAGGTCACTGATAAAGGAGGAGGAAAGGGGATCTAGAGGCATCTCCATTCCAGGCACTGCGCTGGGTGCAGGGCAAGCACATTGCATGGAACACAGTCCCTCAACTCCTGTGAGCTCAGCAGGACTGTGAGCAGGAGGCCTGGCGGGCTGCTGGAACAGGCTCTATGCCAAGTACCATGGGAAGCACAGAGGCTGCTGACTGATTGGGAGGAGAAAGGGCAAACCATGGGGCAGGATGACCTTTAAGATATGTGAGAAGCTGTAATCAAAATTCTAAGAATATAAAAGATGAATGTAGGGATATTCTGTGATCTAGCAAGTCTATTCCTAAGAGTGTATATCAACAGAAATATGGCAGCCAAAAGGAATGTGTGGGAATGCTCACGGCAATATTATTCTTAAGAGCCCAAACTGAAAACCACCCAAATGTCCACCAGCCGGGGGGATGGATAAGTAGATTGTGGGATATTCTCACAACGGAGTAAACAATCTACAACTACACATAATGTGGGTGAGTCTCACCGATGTAATTTCAGTAAAAGACAGACACAAAAGATTATGTTCTATGCGATTATATTTATATGAAGTACAAAAACAGGTAAAACTAATCCATGGTATAGGAGTCAGGACAGTGAGTTAAGTATAGGAGAGGGGACAATGACCTGAAGGGGCCATCAGGAGGTGTTGAAAGTGCTGTAATGCTCAGTGTCTTAATCTAGGTCCAGGTTACATAGGCAAATTCCGCTTATCAAAATACATGGTGCTGTGTGCTTAATATATGTGCACTTTCTATGTGAATATTAGACTTCAATAAAAACAAACTCGAGCATGGCTCTTGTCTTAGTCTGTTCAGGCTGCTATACCACAGACCGAGCAGCTTATAGATGCTACATATTTACTTCTCACAGTCCTGGAGGCTGGCAAGTCCAAGGTCAAGGCACCAGCAGACTGGCTATCTGGTGAAGGCCCACTTCCTGGTTCATACATGGCCATTTTTCTCTGTGTCCTCACATGACAAAAGGGACAAATGCACCCTCTCAGGCCTCTTTTAAAAGAGCACTAATCCCATTCATGGGAGCACTGCCCTTTGACCTAATCACCTCCCAAAGGCCCCACCTCCTAATACCATTACCTTGAGAGTTAGGATTTCAACATAGGAAATTGGCGAGGGACATAAACATTCAGACCATAGCATCTGTTTAGATAGCTACACAGCCTGTGTTAATAAGTGTTATTTTCAAAGTCACATTTCAATTATTTCTCCACCATTAGGCCATGAGCTCCTTCTGCAGTGGGACCTGGCTTATCTGTCTTGTGCTCTCTCTTCCTCCGCACAGATATGGTGGGAAATCTTCCTACACAGGAACCTCTCTGGGTACAGTTCGTTTGGTGTGGCAGCTTGCGTCCTAATGATCACTGTACTTACTTATGAATCTTCTCAAACTGGTCCAAGATCTAATCAAAGCTAGAAACGGATAAAATAATGACCTATTCATGCATTTTAGAATTCAGCCTTTCGCTGTTGCTTTTTTAGAAATCTGCATAATTTTCTATTGTTCACACACTCAAGGGAAACATGTCCCCTGCATCATGGAATACCCAGCCCTGTGGTCTCCATCTCATTCTCCTTGTTTTCTCAAAAAGGATCCACATATAAGTCTATTGCTCAGGTAATTGTCTATTGCCAGAAGATATCATTTCTTTGGCCCTGGTCTCTCAGCTCTTTTGAAGAGACTAATATTCTCTCACTCATTCCCTGGCTGTTTGTCTGTCTTTACAACCAGGGAAGCCAGATGCAAGGCAGGATTGGGACAGTCCTGCATTTTCTGCATCTATCTGGTTAACAGTTTCTGGCCTCATTGACAGCTCCCAGAGTTCCTCCCTTCTTCTCTAGCACAGACTCACAGTCTTCCAGGCTCCTCTGTTCCTTTGAGAACAGCCTTTTGTTCACTGACAAGAACAATCTGCAGCCTCATCAGCTCTAAACCAACCTCCCACCACCCTCTGGGCAAAGCTCTACTCAGGGCACAGGGAGAAGAGGGATGGGGAGCTGGAGATGATTGTGTCTGGTGGGGACAGGCGGGGCGGGGCGGTACACAGAGTCCAGACTGGGGCAACTGGCCGGGTCTGCACCGCCTGCTATGCTGCATGACCTTGAGCCTATCTGGGCCTGCGACCTCAGTGCAGGGGAGCCAGGCGAGAGGATTCTAGGCTCTTTCCAGCTCTAAACACGCAGCCTCTGGGCATCTACATGTTGAACAAAATTGTACAGACACTTGACTCCAGATAGTGAAACATCAGGAGGTTTTTTTCTTCTGCATTTTGCAGTCAACTCTATGCTAAGATTACACTACTGATGTGTTTGTGTTTTGTGGGTGTTCAGAAGTACAAAAAGTCTATGGTTCTAAAAAGCAAATTAAAAGGTTATTTGCTTAAAAACAAGAGAATGAAATCAATTTTAAAAAATAAAGACAGAGGAGAAAGAAAGGCCCACCTAAACCACCTAGAGCTCAGCTGCGGAGGTTTCCCACCGCTGGGCTGCAAAGTCTTTGTTAGCTCTCTGGCGCCATCTGCTGGCCAGGTCGGAAGCAACCGTTTAATTCGCTTTGCAAAAGGGCTCTGAAGCCATTCCGCGGCGAACCCTGATGGGGTCACCTTCAGGATAAAAATTGCATTCTATTTAAAGGCACATCTTGCCCCATACTCACCTCCAGAATTCACTTTTGATTTTGCCTTGCCGTGATGACTGTGACAAGGACACCTGAGCAGTCCCTCTGTATGAGGCGCAGAATGGTCACCCAATGACCACGAGCCTCATGCCATGTAGAGTCCAGATTGGCTCTCCACCCCTCCCCACCGCACTCGGACCCCAAGGAGAGGGAGAAGGCACTGCGAAGAACCCACTCTTGGCCCCCACCAGCGGTGACGGGTTTGGTTACATCTCCATTTCTCTCCGCTCCCTGGGATTCCGCATTTCTTCAATTCATTGCGCTTTGGACTAATTCAGTGCTTCAAGTACTTCCCCATGGCCCCAAGCAGCCCAAAGTGCTGGGGAGTCCTCTCACTTATTCTTCCGCCCAACATCAGTCCTGCTTTCCCACTGCCCAATGGAAGGGGAGCCCCTCACTCCCGGTGATCCCGCCCGTGGGGCACAGTGGTCCCGGTGAAAGCGCATCCTCTTTCTGAGCTGCCCCTCCCCACAGAGGCTGCCCAGGCAAGGCCCCTTTGCGTGACGCTGGTCTTCAGGTGCAAGACAGTACGCAACTCCGGCAAGGCTTGCTGAGGCCCCCTCTGTTGTAGATATTGATGGGAAAGCACTTTGCTTCTGACACTTCTTATTCCAGTTCTAAAAGTCTTTCTGAACTTCATCAAGGGCTTCCTGTGGCTGCTATTAGTGAAGACTGATGAGAAGGTCCACCCTTGTCAGGATGGAGGAGTGGCCCAGGAACCCCTGATTGGCCCTGCTGGGGAGGGAAGGGCTGCCATATTTGGAGAGTTCAGGAATGCCACCTCCCCCGGCAGCTCCTATATAGCCGGGCAGACCTGGCTGGCGAGGGAGTGCTGGAGCACTGTGCAGCGCGAGGGCCCAGAGGCACACTGCCAGGGAGAGCCCGAGGTACGTGGGGGGGAGGAGCATTTCTGTGGTTAGGGTTGCTGGTTTCTAATCAGATCTCGATCCCAGACTGAAAATCATGCCGTGATTTCTTCACTCCCACATCCCGGGATGGGTCCCAAGTCAGGGGAGACTTGTGAGAATGTTCAGTCATCATTGGTCGTGCATGTCTGTATGTTGGTGCTACAATAAAATGCTACTTTAGGGGTGGCTGGTTGGGATTTTGTTTTGCTTTTTAAACCCTTCGCTGTGAAAATGAATTTCTTTCTCATGAATGCTGTGCTTTTTGTTTTTTAATTTGACTCACCTGTAATGATCTATTATGTTATTATTCTTATTTAAGATTTCTCCTACCAAGAGGTATGGAATGATGACATGGGGTGTGGCCCCCTATTTAGGAGACTAACGAATGTTGGCTTCATGCTTGGATCTCTTTGGAGAAAGCCAGTCTGAGTTCACCCATGCTTAGGGGGTAGGGGATGGGGCGCTGGTGGCCTGGGTGCTCATCCCATTCTGGGACAGAGACATGGCAATGTCCACAGTGAGGAGAAGTCAGCGAGGCCTCGTTGCAGGCTTCCCGATGGGACTGGGTGTGCTCTTAGGTTGTATTTCACCCTCATGTTTTTTAAACATAAGAATGGTGTTGCATCAGAGTTGAAGTTTTTTTTTTTTTTTTTTTTTTTTTTGAGACAGAGTCTCACTTTGTTGACCAGGCTAGAGTGAGTGCCGTGGCATCAGCCTAGCTCACAGCAACCTCAAACTCCTGGGCTCAAGCAATCCTGCTGCCTCAGCCTTCCAAATAGCTGGGACTACAGACATGTGCCACTATGCCTGGCTAATTTTTTCTATATTATTAGTTGGCCAATTAATTTCTTTCTGTTTCTAATAGAGACGGGGTCTTGCTCTTGCTCAGGCTGGTTTCGAACTCCTGACCTCGAGCAATCCGCCTGCCTTGGCCTCCCAGAGTGCTAGGATTACAGGCGTGAGCCACTGTGCCCGGCCAGAGTTGAAGATTTTAACAGAGGAACATGAATCACTTTTAAGGATGCTGGGGGTGTGGGGTGGAGGGCACGTTAGGGGCTAAACAAGCGACCTCCCACCTCCTCCAGCTCCAGCACTCCATGGGCTCACAGCAGATCTTACCTAGGAGGCAGCTTGGGCAGGCTGTGCTGTGGAAACTCTCTCTGCAGCGCTGATCCACACAATGGCCCGGGCGCTGGAATGCTCTGACAGTTGGCCTTGGGAGGTGGATTTCCCCAACAGCTATCGTAGTTTCAGGAGCCAGATGTGACAAGCAACCAGGAGGGGCTGGGTGTGGGGTGGGGGCTATTCCATGGCATCAGCAGCAGCCCTTGAGATACCCTGGGGCCACCTTGACCCAGGACCCTCCTGGTGTTCCCCCAAGCCCTCCTGGCCTCCCCTTCAGCTCACTTTGTCCGAAATTCCTTGAGGCCCCTGCTTCTTGCTCCTTGCTGTTTCCTTAGGGGCCATCCCGCTCAGTGAGTCAAAAACACCAAATTCGAGCACCATCCCTTCCCAAAGCCCAGAGAGGCAGTGGGGTGCGGCTGCTGGGCACATGGAGTATAGCGTCAGAGCCGAGTTCAAATGTGCCAGCTCCTCCTGTGCAGCCTTGGGAAAATTATTTAACTTCCCTGGATTCCAGGACAATGTTTATAAAATGGGGATAATAGCCCATGTAAGAATTAAGTTAGACAATGTCAGAGGTGGGTTTAACACAGTGGCTGGCACGTAGCAAGTGTGCAGTAAGAAGCTAAGAAGGATGAACAGGCACTCACACTGACCCCCGGGGGCATAGGAGAGGATTAGAAAGGATGCCTGTAGCACATCGTGACCCCTCGACATAGGGGGAGCCAGGGGTCCCTTCACTGCATCTCCGTCTTTCTCTCCCTCCACCTTCCTCTGCTCTCTCATTCCTGTAAAGTCCTTTAGAATCAGCAGCCAGTGCCTTTCTTAGAACAGGTGGCAGCATGTGCCCAAGACAGTGGCAGCTTAGAGCGACACAGAATAAAGAGGGCAGATTGAAAATGCAGTCTATGCCCACCAGTGTTGGAGTCCAACTCTTCCACTGTATTTTCCTCCCAGAGTCCTCTTGATTTGAAAGGCTTGGGAGCGCCAAAGAAACCCTACTTGTATTGAGTCAGTACTCATTTATTTTCCCATGCATATTCAAAGGCTTTATAATTGCCAGTTGCAGCTTCTTATCTGCCTGAGAACACCAGGATGGTGGCCCTGAGTGAATGTCATCCCAGGCAACAGCAAAAAAGAAAAAAAAAAAAAATTGATGTTCGAGTTAACCTTTCACAGCCCGAGCCTGGGGAAACAATTGTGCTTTTGAGAAAATATAAATAGCACAAGGGTGCAATTCCCTGGCTTATAATCTCCCACACTGGGGGAGGGGGGCTGGTGCAGGGAGGGGGGAGGGGGTCCCAGGGGAAGCTCACTGCCTGCCGCGTCTCCCGCAGATCCTGACACGATGAGGAAGCATCTGGGCGGATGGCGGCCGGCCATTGTCTTTATCCTGCTCTTCAGCCACCTCGCCGTGGTCAAGGCCAGGGGCATCAAGCACAGAATCAAGTGGAACCGGAAGCCCCTGCCGAGCACGGTGCACATCACCGAGGCCCTGGTGGCGGAGAACCGCCCGGGAGCCTTCATCAAGCAGGGCCGGAAGCTGGACGTCGACTTCGGGGAGGAGGGCAACAGGTACTACGAGGCCAACTACTGGCAGTTCCCCGACGGCATCCACTACGACGGCTGCTCTGACGCCAACGTGACCAAGGAGGTGTTCGTGGCCAGCTGCATCAATGCCACCGTGGCGGCCAACCAGGCCGAGTTCGCGCGGGAGAAGCAGGACAAGCTGCACGAGCGCATCCTCTGGCGGCTGACGCGGGAGCTCTGCTCCGTCAAGCGCTGCGAGTTCTGGCTGGAGCGCGGGGCGGGACTGCGGGTCGCCGAGGACCGGCCGGCGGTGCTCTGCCTGCTGCTGCTGCTTTGGCTCTTGCTGCGATAAGCCCGCTCCCCGGCCCAGCCCCGCAAGTGCGCTGAAGGTACCAGGGACCGTGATCCTGCCCGCTTCCAATGTCGCTCCCAAGTGTGTTTGCATTCGGCAAGTGTGAGTGTGTGTGTCCATCCCCTGCAGGCGCCACCGGCTTCTTCATCGCTGCGTTCTCAGCTCCCAGTGGAGGGCCTGGCGCACCATACTAGGTAACAAATGTTTGATGAATCCATAAATGAACGCATCAGGAACTGTGCCAAGCACTTCATCATACTTCCCAACAACTCTTAGAGGTGGGTGTTATTCCCGTTTTACAGATGAGGAAACTGAGGCTCAGAGAGGTGAAGCAGCTCACCCAGAGTCACGCAGCTAGAAAGTGGCAGAGCTGGGATTCAAGCCCGGCTTGTCCAACCGCAGGTTTTCTGTTCTGTCCGATCCCAGAGCTGTCTCACTATCACTTTATGGCTCTAAAGGACATAAATCCAAACATATCTCTAAGGAAACTGTAGAAGCTCCACTTTTAAAAGCAAATGGAAAGACCTGAGCCTACGGCTGTGTGCTTTGATACCTTGTTACAGAGGTTATTTTAATCATTCTAATTAAACTAAAATACAATAAAGAAATTAAACGAACATAGAAATAAAGCTAGACAAAGCCCAGAAATCACATTGTAAGGAAATAGTGCCGAGATGATCCCCAGAACAGACCTACTATACAGCAGGTTGTGTCTGTGGCATGAAGATTTTCTTTTTTTCTTTTATTTTTTTTTTTACAGAAAGTGTAAGTGTTTGCTGTTCCCATTCCTGAAATATTCCATGTATTTAAGAAAAAAAGTTTTAATGACACATTTGCTTCTAATGTCCCCCTATCCTATGTACACATTTTATATATACCCATAAAAACTTCTATTAATATGCACCCTTTATATAGGTGCTCTGCACAATCTCAATCAGCCCTTTTAACATCACTTCTGTAAACCATGCATCACTACAAAAATGTAAGGTTAAAAAGAAAGTGTGTCTTTAGGGAAACCCAACAAACAATTCATTCATGCCATAAGCAAGACTTTTGACACCACCTTATTCATTAAAAATATGTATAACAAAATCTGAATATAATTTAAAATCAAAATAATAAATCTAACGCCCTCAGAGAGTACTCTCAGAGACCCCAGGAGTTCTTGAATCATTATTGGGAGAAAACAGCGGCTGAATATTATCCATTCTCCTTTAAAGAGAGTTTGTGAGAGGGAAAAAAAATGTGTATTATCAGACGATTTATCAGAAGTATTTCAGAACGGGAGCATTGAAAATGGCACCCCTTGTGCCGAGTCCCCAAGGCCATCAGGGTTCTTCTCAAGGTTACAGCTGGAAGGTATTGGCATGCGCACAGGCGGAGCACTTGGGGGACGGCGCCTTCCAGCAGATAGTTGGGCTGTCCCCACGCTGCAGCCACAGTCCTATCAATTCAGAGAGCAAGAAAAAAGTGCAGAACACGTAGGGGTTATTTCTTGCATTCCAATTTTTAATTTAAAAAAATAATAACAACAATGGCAAGAAAGAAAGAAGAGAGAGAGAGACACACACAGAAAGAAAGAAAGAAAGAAAGAAAGAAAGAAAGAAAGAAAGAAAGAAAGAAAGAAAGAAAGAAAGAAAGAAAAGAAAGAGAGAGAGAGAGAGAGAAAGAGAGAGAAAGAAAGAAAGAAAGAAAGAAAGAAAGAAAGAAAGAAAGAAAGAAAGAAAGAAAGAAAGAAAGAAAGAAAGAAAGAAAGAAAGAAAAAAGAAAGAAAGAAAGAAAGAAAGAAAGAAAGAAAGAAAGAAAGAAAGAAAGAAAGAAAGAAAGAAAGAAAGAAAGAAAGAAAGAAAGAAAGACAGACTTGGTGGTCGATGTTGAAATTTCAATTCCTGGCTCTCCTAAGTTTAATGACAAGAGCACGCAGAGCCACCTAAGCAAAATGACCTCATCTCTGGTGTGAAAATGCTTAAGCCATGATGTGGTTCATTTTCTATAATTGCTGTCTTTTCTCATCTCGTTAATTGTCCCAGAAACCAGACTGAAGTGGGGTATGAATTGAATCTGTACGTAGTGATTCCAATGCAAACTCTGTTTATGGAGTTTTCCATTGAATCTGTACATGCCTGAACATCCTTGCTCATGTTTGCAAATCGCAGCGTGGAGTAATGGCTTTGTGAGTCTGGTTTTCCACTTTTAGCAAAGGGTCGCAGAGTGACTACTGTGTGCAAGCCACTGAGAGGGGCTTCTGAATCATTCCTGATGTGGCCATTTTACAATGTGAATAATTTCCCCAACCACTGCTTTCTTGCCGATTCCAAGTGTTAACTTTTAAAAATACAGGTTTATTGGGAAAGTTGCATTAAAATTACAACAGTGGCTGGGTGTTGTAGCTCACACCTGTAATCCCAGCACTTTGAAAGGCTGAGGCAGGAGGATTGCTTGAGGCCAGGAGTTTGAGGCTGCGGTGAGCTGAGATCAGCTCACCGCACTCCAACCTGCACCCTAGAGCAAGATCCTGTCTCTTAAAAAAAATTCCAATAGAAATTTAAAACAAAAAATTGCTACAATCCCAGCAATCTGATTAAAATCCCTCCGTAACCTCCTAGTCCTTATCCGTTTGCATATACAAATGTATGTATTTGCAATAATAAAACAGGTGAGCTTTTATATTCTAAAGTTTACTTAACTTAGTTCAATGCTTTCCGCCCTCCATTTTCCTCTGAGTTCTGCTTTTTTTGCCTCCCCATATCTTCCCAGTCCCACCCCTTCCTTCCAGCCTGGGATGCAGCCTTCACACCTTTACTGTGCTCAGATATATAGGCAAGGGTATTTTATTTGATTACATCTTTGAAAATACTGTAATCATAGATATAATGTTTATTCCTCTGCAATTTGCCTCCTTAACTTAACACTGCATCAGGAAACCCCGGGTTGACACCTAGCTGGTTAGCTAACTCATCCTTTTAGATTTCTGTGTAATATTCCATTGTACAGATGCACCATGGTTGAGTTAATCATTTCCTTGTTAATGGGCCTTCAGATTGTTTCCATTTCTTGCCACTGCAAACAATAAACATCCTAGTACATATAACATTGCATTCTGGTGCTTTTTTTTCTGTGGAATGGATTCACACATGGAGAATTTCTGGAACAAAGCCTGTGTGTAATTTAAATTTTTTCCAGGCATGACCAGGTTATGTTCCCACCTAGCTGGAGCAATTCTCATCCTATCAGCCGTGTATGGCATTAACTTGGAAGAGTTTCTATGTCATTTAAGTATGAGGAGTCACCTTTTCTTTCTTTTTTTTGAGACAGAGTCTCACTTTGTTGCCCAGGCTAGAGTGAGTGCCGTGGCGTCAGCCTAGCTCACAGCAACCTCAAACTCCTAGGCTCAAGCAATCCTCCTGCCTCAGCCTCCCAAGTAGCTGGGACTACAGGCATGCGCCACCATGCCTGGCTAATTTTTTCTGTATATATTAGTTGTCTAATTAATTTCTTTCTATTTATAGTAGAGACGGGGTCTCGCTCTTGCTCAGGCTGGTTTCAAACTCCTGACCTCGAGCAATCCGCCCGCCTCGGCCTCTCAGAGTGCTAGGATTACAGGCGTGAGCCACCGTGCCCGGCCAGCAATGCCCATTCTTAACCTGGTTCTTAGCCCAAAACATCTGGATGAGAAGCCTGGAAAGCAGGCAGAGTGTGCAGGCTTCCGCTCAGAGGGCAGGTGTGTCTGCACAGCTCGGCGTTCCCCAGCAGCCAGGGAAGGCATGGAGTGAGGTTTGGTCCTGGCCTTTAATTAATCTTTGGTAAAATTAAACACGCAAATTTCTGCATTCCAGACCCCAAAGCTCAAAAGCAGCAGGCAGGGAGCATGTTATTAAAGTAGCCCACACTGCGTCTCCCTCCCCATTTGGGAAGACAGTCAGCATCTCCCTGAGGCCCCTCACACCCCACTCTGCTTAGGATGTGCCTGGTGACATTTAGAAGCTCCTCCCTGTGGGCCTAATGGGGTGTGTCCCAGGCAGTGGTCATGAGTTTGTCTTGAGCTGTCCACACTCAGAAAGCCTCAAGCTTTCTGCTAACAAGTGACTGGCTTGGGGTGGTGACCCACTGGGTCATGGACCCCAGGCCCTACATCATACCTGCGGTGTGCTCACGTCTTGCACCTGCACCCAGCACTTTTTCTCCATGGCTGTGTATGGCTGGACAAGGACACCCTAAGATGCCCGTGTGCTGCTGTGTGGCACATTCTGGAGTCTGCCAGGGTCTCTTCTGAAACGCTGACAGTAGGGGGGGTCCCATGTGCCCAAATGCAGGCAGCGATGGACACAGTCACAGACCACACATGCTGGGTGAGTGATCAAGAAGATATACCCGGTAAAAAATAAATAAATAAATAAAGAAGATCTACCCAGGCATGGCATCATGACGAGTTTCAGTTTCTCCCACTGAAAGCTCAGCCACTGTTCTGTTGAAGAACAGGCCTTTCGGCATGTGAAGTTGGCTCTCTTCCCCAAGGCCACGAGTCAGAGCAAAGCAGAGGGCTCTTTCTTCTCTCATCCTCACTGCTGGCAGACGACCCCATTTCAGCTGGGCACTCAGCCTCCCAGGGGAAAGGGAAAGGACCAAAGCCTCATGCCTAGGGGAATGCATGCCCCTGTAGAATGGGAGAAAATCAGACATTCCCTGCAGAAGGGAAATACAGTACTAGTCTCTGAGATATCTCTAATTCAATTCCAGACTATTTCAAGTCTATTCCAGAAAAACTGACTTCGTGAATTCCTTTGGTGAATGGGAGCATTAACCTGAGCCTGGGGCTTCAGCGGGGAGGGGGGGTGGGGGGGTGTCTCACCTCTGAACAGGAGCACACACTGCAGAGGGAAGGACTGAGACTCCACCCCCAGGCATTTCACACACACACACACACACACACACACACCCCGCACTGAAGTCCTGAGGCCTCCCTCAAACAATGACCCCAGATGGGGGTGGAAGAGTCCGAGAGAGGCCTGGGGCTGAAATAAGCCACCCCCAATTGTAAAGAGACCTTCCTGGTCAGCACAAAGCTGACTCCCAAAAAGAGCTCATTCTCCAATACTCAAGTGTCACTGCCTCCCCCAAGTTGCCTTCCCAGTCTCAGTTCACACCTCCATCCTCTCCCCCACCCTGGGGATTCCCCGCTCTGGGGATTCCCAGATCTTATTTTAATGCAAACCTTTTGTGAGAAGGCATTGCTTTCTTAAACAATACAGATTGTTTAAACTCCAGCAAGCTTGGCCATACATTGTGAAAGGAAATTGGCCAAGGCCAGAGGGGAACTAGAGGAAGCTGGGAACAGGCAGGTCCCAGCCAGAGGAACTAACACAGCCAGCCTCCCTGGATGGAGGAGGTGGCCAGTGGGGGGGGCGATGGGGGAGGGGAGAAGACCACCCGTGGGTGTCCTGGGGAGAATTCCACACTCAGGCTCCTCGCAGGTGACATCAGCCTCCAGCAGCGGAGAGTGTTATGCTACCAGGGACTCCAGCCTCAAGAAATGACATTCAGCACCAAGGAGAGGGATTTGTAGCAGGTGGTCGGTCCGGGCAGGGTCCTGGCTAGGTGAAAGCCACGTCTGTTGTGCTGTGCTGGAATTTCCAAATCCATAATTAAGGTTTATAATATATTTAACAGGCTGTTTTGGCTCAGGGCTACTGAGCAATCCAGAACAAAATGGAGGAGCTTATGACATCTCTTAAATGTCATTTATCCCTCCTGGTGTCCAAGCCAAACTCCATGGTCACCTCTGCTCCCCTAGGGAAAAAAATAGAAGGAGCAGGAGGTGAAGGGCTGGTTGGGTTTCTCAGCTCTGGGTCTGCTTGCAAGTGCCAAAGGATGGAAGCCCCATACCCACCCAAAGTTAATGGGATTTTTTTGGCGCACTGACTCAAGAGCAGACTCCAAGTTCCTTCTGGAAATTCAAACTTGATGTGGTCTGCAAACCTGCTCCCCTTCAGATGGGAAGATTCTGACCTGGGCAGATGGAAGTTTCCAGAAGCCCAGCTGTCAGACTCTCACCCAGCAGGCGGACCCAGTCCTGCACAGACAACGTCTCTGCCTTGGCAGATGGTATTTACTTGGGATTACAGATACATTTTCTTCTGGTCATGATCCTCAATC